AGTTTAATATACAATATGTCTTCATTTTAAATCAATATCTGGAAATTAATAACAGATTTTATCCATGAATAAACCAGGCCACTCATAAAGTTCATTAATAATGTGTTTATAATGATAATCCTGTTATTAAGAAAATCAGAACAGGATAATCTTAGCTTTTGTTCAACAGAAACTTGATCAGTATTGATACTTCTGTCTACTAGCATATTTCAGAAGAAGAAAAAGCTATATGATACAATTAGTTATAAGTTATTAAGGGGAATATTTTATGAAAACAAAATGGAACAATTAAACAAATAAATAAAGGATTCTTTTGTTGTGATTTGGACTAGCATGGTTTTGAACTTAATGTATGAGTAGTATTAGTCCTGTGTTGAAAACCCCTATTTCATTTTAAACAATTTAAAATTAAATTGATTTTTAAAAGCTTAATATACATGAAAAAACTAGTCTTTACTTTGAAAATTGTGTGATTTAAAACAAATTTTTACATTTTTTAATTGTCAAATACATGTAGGTCATGAATAATTTATATATGCTTTATATACATTGACCTGGTTTTGTTCTTCAACAAGTCTCAGACATTGTCTTTCTATAATTTCAGAGTGGAAGATGACAAAGGTCAGAGCACAAAGCGCTACAATCCCTCCGATTTATACAAACCGCGTCCTAACATTGCTCGTAGCAGAAGGCGAGGTTCCTCTCCAACTCAACAAAAAGCAGACGACAATGCCAATAAAACACCCTCAGCTGGTGATAGCAAAACCACTAAAGAGGACAAACCAGCAGTTCATGAGGAACCCCCAGAGGTTATAGAAATTGAATCTAGGTCACCCTCACCAGTCAGTTCAAGGTCAAGATCGAGGTCAACTTCACGTTCAAGAACTCACTCAAGGTCACGATCTCATTCGCATTCTCGGTCCAGATCTCGTCGAAAGAAAAGAAGGAAAGGAAGGTCGAGGTCAGGGTCAAGGTCATATTCTGAATCCAGGTCAAGGTCTCAGTCTAAATCCCGATCCAGGTCGTATTCCAGAACGAGGGACGGAGCCAGTCCCATTTCATCCTCATCCTTATCTCTGTCAAGGTCACCTTCCCCATCCAGACACAGTAGTAGATCCTCCTACTCCAGATCCAGAAGTAAAACTAGGTCAAGGTCAGCTTCCAGGTCATCCGAGTCTTCTGTGGACGAGTTTGGGAGACGGAAGAGGAAGGCTGGAAGAAGGCCGCTGGAAGAGATCGATTTTGGGGAGGCAGCTCGCATGGCCAAGAAAAGTTTGGTCGGAGTGGACTTTGGAGAGGCCGAGAGGAGAAGTAAACAGGAGAGGTAAAATTACATTTATAATAAAAATCTTATTATTAATTGATTTGTATAGCCTGCAGTCACTCTAGGTTTTAAATTGATTCAGTCTATACCGAAGAAAAGACACCAGTCATTTGAAGAGGAAGATTCTAAACCCTAAAAAAATAAAATTTGACTTTGAACTTTATGAATTGCGATTTTGACCCATGCACCTTGTATTTACAGAGGGGACCCCTCCAATACAACAAAAGCTACTGAATTTGCACCCTTCAAGTGAGTTCAAGGGTTTCAGTAGCCATTGCCATCTCAGAATTTGATGTTTATTTTGTTTTAGTTCACTTTTGGGATTTGAATAAACTTTTTCTGTGATCAAAAATTTCAAATTTGAACATCAACCTCTGATAAGTGGTAGGCATTAATCTAACAAAATCCTGTCAGTTTTACAGCAAATGTGTGTACAGTGTTTTGATGTCGTATTCATCAGATTTGTTGAGAGAGAAAAATTCTATGTTCTTGTAACAAACTTGATGCTAAGCCTTCACAAAAATACTAGTGAGATGTCTTCTACCCATGTTCTTAAGTTTAATGTATATACGGTGGAGTCTCATTTATCCGGACACTTTGGATCCTAGTCATTTTGTCCGGATATGTGAAGCGTCCGGATATCTGAATTACCATTTAAACAAGATACAAGATACGGTTGAAAGGTAAATAAAGTATCAATAAAAGTTGTGGTTATTTGGTGGATATTATTCTAAAAGCGGGGGAAACATTTGATACAAGAAATAATACCCAAAGTTAGCTAAAAAAAAGCTGTTTAAGTCAAAGGTTTTTACAATGCTTGCATCTAGCTCTCTGCTTTATCTGTCCAAATTTTCTCAAGCAGAGAGCTACAGTTCTGCAGCTACTTTTCTGTATGAATTTTTCTTTGCTCACATGAGCCACATGTTAAACCGAGCTTTTCTGATTAAAATTTGCCAGTTGTTTTTACAATTTTAAGTGTACAACACTTATAACCAGAGAACTGGTTTGAGTTTGGTTTGAAATCCACAAATCTCAAGGAACATTGAGTTTTTTGTTCATTTGTACATGTATTCTTTAGACCTTTGAAATATTTTAAATAAACAAACTGTTACTGTAAACCAACTTTATACTCGTGCGAGAAATTTTCATGAAGTTCACGAGAGTCTCATCATCGCGAATATTTCTTGCCGCGAACCAGTCTCTGTGCCTATTAACAACAGATCTAAAAAGGCTTAATTGCAAAAGTGAATCGTAGCGAATGAGTTTAACCCCGGAAAATTGCAAAATAAAGTCATCGCGAATAAAAGTTGGTTTCCAGTAATTTGAATGGTTCCATCCCCAGTCCCTAAAAGTGGCATGAGAGCCCTGTAAAAAATGGTATAACATGAGCTTCACATCTAAGCAGTTTCCAGATGATGGCATTTTTAGTGCCTTAACTCTCATGTTCTTATGATCTCCATTAAAGGATCATTCTTATTATTTTGAATCAACAAGTTTTAAGTTGGAAATTTCTTTCTTGACTCTTGGAAAATTATTATTTAAAGTACATGTATTTAGAAATACTTTTTATAAAGAAATAGCAATTTTATTAAACATTGATGTAGGAATAATTTAAAACGACAATTCTTACCAACATCAGCATTTTGTTTAATTGCTACAACTTTTAATACGAGATTTTTTTCTTTTCCTAGGACTGTTCCCCCATTTGGTGCCCCTCCGCCACCTGGTGCCATGCCCATAGTGGACCCCACCATGAAAAAGTATGTAATTATACTTAATGCTATTTCTCATCACAGTATATCAAATCTTTTCACACAGCTACATATACATATTGAGTGTTCAAATTCATTTATGAATTGACCGCATTCTGATTTTATAGAAGGATGGGAAAAAAGCGGGGATTCCCACCTACCAGAGGGGTCCCGAGGAGCAATGCACTGCGAGGAAACTGGTACCACCAATCCTGGCAGTTTGAAGAGGCCTCCATGGAGGAAGAGATGGTCATGCCCCCCTCCCCCTCCCGGCGTTACTACGCCCCAGACCGGTCACCCCTCCATTATGACGACCTGGATTCTCTCTCCCCAGATTCCATGGGAAGGCACTCTCCCAGCATAATGAGGCACCCTAGACGTGGGGTCTCCCCCTCACCCCCTCCTTACGGAATACCCCGAGGAATGAGAGGAATGTCAAGGTCACCCTCCCCTCCATATCTCCCCCGCAGACACTCCCAGTCAATGTCACCCCCTCCCTATGCTGGAAGACCTGGAACTTATTCCCAGTCTCCATCCCCACCCCCCTACATTGGAAGACCGATGAGACACTCCAGATCCCCCTCACCCCCTTATGGTGGACCCCCATCCCCTCCTTATGGTGGACGTCCAATGAGACATTCACAGTCTCCATCTCCATCACCACCCTACTTAGGCAGAAGACAGAGGTCACCTTCCCTACCATATACAAGAAGACCCCCCTCCCCCTATGATGGGTCCCTCCCATCTCCTCCAGTTCGAGGACCGAGAGGTCACAGACCCCCCTCCCCTCCTTCACCCTCCTACAGGGCACTGTCTCCAGAGGGGAGGGTACGAACCAGAAGTCAAAGGTCACAGTCACCCACTTATTCCTCTTCACACAGGGGCAGACCCTCACCTTCACCCCCATTAGATGAGGAGGCCCCCTCACCCCCTGAATACTCTCCCCCTCCACTGTCCCCCACAGGGTCAGGCTACAGGTCCCCATCCCCACCCCCATTATCTCGACTCCCTAGATCTCCCTCACCCCCACACCGTCCCGTGACCAGGGCCTACCACTCTCCTTCAAATTCCCCCTCCCCTCCCCCCCTGCGACCTGTCACCCCTCCCTCTCGACCTTTGACTCGAGGTCAGAGGGCAGTATCCCCTCCCATGTTCAGTCCTAAGACCCGGAAACAGAGACCCCCCTCTCCCCCTCCTGCAGCTATGTCCTCCAGGTCACTTCGAGCCAAACACAATGCCCCTCAGAGGTATTCCCCTCCCCCATTGCAGAGGATGAGGCCCCGCCCACAATCCCCACCCCCAGCTAAAAGAGGGAAGCGGTGATCAGCTGTACAATTCACAATTCCCACCATTGTTCAGAAGGGAGAAACAAAAAAGGATTTGTGCAGATTAATTGAATTGACTTTTGCAATAAGATCTATGCTGTATAGAGAAATGATTAATCAACATGTGTTCTTTAAATTAATGTTTACATTCAGTTATTAAGGAAAAAGAAGATCCAAACTGTACAGACTGATTAAATGAAATGTATCAACAATGTTGTTAATTGTACATAGTGTATTTATAAATCTGTAAATTGCTATAAATTAAAATAATGAGGAAAACTGCTCTATGTTTCTTTATCATTGATTCTGATGAATGAGTTGTGTATCTTATATGTACGAGGGACGTTCAATAAATAATGTCATTAGCTTGGTGACATACAACATAGTAGTCATATGACATAAAGCTTGACTTTCTCTCATTTTTGAATCTTTTTTTTTTGGGGGGGGGGGGGGTGTACATGTGTATGTTTTTACCCTTGTCATCTAAATATTCAACATTTTTTTAATTGCCTTGTGATTTATAGATTGGTTTATAATTATCTTCAAAAAGTCAAAGTACTAAATTATTTTATTGGCATTTTGATTTATTTCCAAAAAGGATTAAATACTAGTACTAGATATGCGCCATCCTCTGGTACACTGAACAAGCGCGGCTTGAAAGGTACCTCAAATTGTTTTAAAGTAGCAATTCTTCATTGACAAAATCATGAAAAAAAAATGTAATGGCGATGAATGTATTATCTGTTGTAAATGGAAACATTGACTTGTTTGTCAGTAACCTATCTCAGTTAAAAAAAATATTGTAATCGGAACATTCTCCAGTTTGGTAGCATAAACATTGGTAAGCTTAATTGTTGAAATAACAGGGGAACTCGTATTGTGCGACTCAAAACAATTTTTTTCGTATTAATAATAAAGCCAATATTATTAAGTGAAAATCCCAGTTACACTGATGGAAATGAAGTTTTCGTGCAGAATTGATTATGAGAGATTAAGTGTCAAATGAACCATACAATTTTATAAAAACAAGTATTTTTAAAAAATAAAACTTAATGTTATATGTATTCCTCAAGGTGTAGACTTTTTGTACAAATTCAATATCTGGAAGTGATAAATTTGATTCAAAAGAATCTAAAAGGTACATGTAAAGTATCTGTATAATTTTAGTAAACCCCCCTACATGCCCTACAAACTCCTGCTTAATAATGCACACTTCTGATAAAATATTTTTAAACAATGAGAACGTACTTCACATACTAAGGGGATTGTAATCTTTCATTAAAGAATGGGCCAATATAGTGTGTGTTTGCAGCTCATGTTTTCTATGCTTTTAATTAATAAATTACTTCAAATTAAAATAGGAACACATTTATAAAAGAATCGAGAAAAATCCTTTTATTGAAACTTTAAAAGATGACATTTCTCTAATTCAATTTCGAATCACTGTAAAATCTCCAGCAGCTGAAACATAACACTGAGTTTATAATTGTTCTGGCGATGTAGCAATTGTCTCCTCAACTTTTCCTTCCTCCTCCTCTCTATTTCCTCCCTTCGTTCTCTGTCTCTCTCTTGCTTCTCTATCATTGCAAGCTCCCTTTTATCTGTAAAAAAATCAAATGTTGAACATAAACTAATTATTTATTTATTATTTATACATTCTTTAATTATTTATGAATAAGTAAAAGGTTTCCATAAACCCATAATATGGTGGCGAATTCCAGATACTTTCACGTTGTTCTTACGTTTCAAATCAACTTCATCCTCATCCTCATTTCTCTGGAGTCTTGTTTTCAGAAACGATACGTTATGCCACATTGGCTCTCCTCCACCAGTTACTGGAATATCAAAGGCAACCCCTCCCCCGCTCACTTTGGCTTTGATTCCATTCTTCTTCAATATCTTTTGCAGCCTCTTTTGCTGTTTTTTGGTGCGAAAAGGAGTTGGAAAGGGTGCAACTTTACTATGGAAGCAACCCATTGAGTTTATTCTGACTTTGTTGTTAGATCACGCAATTCTGAATGTGTTGCTATAGAACGCACAGTTTATTATGACGTCATAGTGATTGTTACGTCATACATATTGTTACGTTAAACACAACATAAACATAATTCAATGAAATAAAGAAAAAAGAAGAAATTATATGCATCGAAATTAGAACAGTTCTAATTTGAAATGCGCCGTTTTCATTTTCTTAATTATCTGAAACATTACAGTAATGAGTTTATTTTATCCTTATACTTATATTTATTAAAAAAAATAATCTATATCTTGCAATTATAAATCCTATATATCAATTTGAAATTAGAAAAAAATACGCAGGTTCACTGGTTTAAACGTCTATAGATATGGGTTAGGTATATGCTAAATCCCAATAAACTCAAAGGGCGAATACGAAAGAGTGAAAAGCACTCTCCCGTGAGTTTACTGAAGAGACTATTTTTAGAATATTGTTGGTCATATGACTAATACTGTCAATTTTCATGGAGAAAATCATTCTATATCTCATTCTTTTAGCTTGGTTTGATAAGAAATTATTATTTTATATAAGATCAATCATGAATGTTATTTCCTTCCAAACAGTCGCCCGCACGGCGCAGTGGTTAGGGCATCTGCTCTAAAGTCGCGAACCAAGGAGTTGATATTAACGTCGCGGGTTCGAATCCCACCGTGGGTCGTGGAGACCGGTCCTTCAGATGAGACTGTATAAATTGCATCTTCGCTAGCCAATGGTTTCTGATACGCTACTCTCCTCATAAACCCTTGGGTTTATGAGGAGAGTAGCGTATCAGAAACCCTTGGCTAGGGAAGATGTATAAATTGAGGTCCAGTGTCTCACTAAGTGCTGGCACGAAAAAGGTCCCTCACTGCTCAATGGCCCAAGTGTGTAGTATTAGACAAAATGTGTAGCTCTTCAATGGGAAGTGGTGGCGTCTCCATATGAGTGAAAAATCCACGAGCGGGACGTTAAAAACACACAATCGATCAATCCTTCCAAGCAAAAAAAAGAACAAAATATTCTGTTAAAGAAGTAATAAAAAAATCATTTTATTAAAACATCAATAGAAAGACGAAATATTCTTCATTCAATTCCGAATCACTGTAAAATCTCCAGCAGCTGAAACATAACACTGAGTTTATAATTGGTCTGGCGATGTAGCGATTGTCTCCTCAACTTTTCCTTCCTCCTCCTCTCTATTTCCTCCCTTCCTTCTCTGGCTCTCTCTTGCCTCCCTATTATTGCAAGCTCCCTTTTATCTGCAAAAAAAAAATCAGATGTTGAACATAAACTAAGTATTTATTTATTATTTATACATTCTTTAATTATTTATGAATAATTAAGTAGCTTTCCATAAACCCTTAATGTGGTGGCGAATTCCAAATACTTTCACGTTGTTCTTACGTTTCAAATCAACTTCATCCTCATCCTCATTTCTCTGGAGTCTTGTTTTCAGAAACGATACGTTATGCCACATTGGCTCTCCTCCACCAGTTACTGGAATATCAAAGGCAACCCCTCCCCCGCTCACTTTGGCTTTGATTCCATTCTTCTTCAGAATCTTTCGCAGTCTCTTTTGCTGTTTTTTGGTGCGAAAAGGAGTTGGAAAGGGCGCAACTTTACTGTGGAAGCAACCCATTATGGTTATTTTGACTTTGCAAGATCACGCAATTCTGAATATGTTGCTATATAACGCACAGTTTATTATGACGTCATGACTTATGACTTAATTGTTACGTTATTTACTGTTATGTCAAATATGCAAGTTCACTAAAATTGGGCTCTTTTTAGAGCAGACAATATTTTGTTAAATTATTTTCAATTACAGTGTATATATCAATAAACATACATGTAATTAGTATCAAAAATGTTTTTATTTTCATGCATATACGATTTCTGTGTGTTCATATAATATAATATTATATTTGAGTTAGAATGACACACTTGTCAATGAAACGTTTCCTATTTACTACGGAATTGTTTTTGTGATATTCGTTTCATATAACTATTGGAGGTATAATTGGGAATAATGCTTAATTTGTGACAGAAAAATAATGTGTATCAACAGTCTTCATCTTAGACTCCATTGATGATTTTACAATCAGACAGAAAAGAATTATCACATATTAAACATAAGGGGGGGGGTCTCGAAAGTAAAGAAAAAGAAGATGGCCCAAGAAATGATTGATATTTGGGACATAAATACACGTGTTTCATAATCACCCAATTTTGTCGACAGAGATAATTTGATATACTGGTTTTTTTATTACGTTATAGTTATATATAATGTAATAATGAAATCGTTGCGGTTTCATCAAGTTCTTTGGGAAGACACTGTGTATGTAGATCTAATCATTTCGTTTCTTTTCTATCTGATCAAATCAGCCAATTAACTACCTGAAATAAGGTTAAAGAACTCGCCTTGTGTAGTTATTTATATCTTTATAGGTAACAATTGGTACTTGTTACATTTAAACACTGGTAGATATATTGTACATGTACATGTATACATATATTTACGGAAATGACACACTTGTCTTGTTGAAAGAACAAGGGAGAAAAGGGCCTCACAATTGCCTTCATGCAAAATTAAATAGTTTGAAATTAAGTATTATGACATAATGTTTTAATCGTAATAAGACACTTACTGAATCAGAACTATTCTTGTTGGTTAAAAAAGTATTCACTGATGTGTACACTGGTGCATGTATGACAGAGAGAAGGGGGGGGGGGGGCACGGGTTGGGAAAGTTATAGGGGTGCCCCTAAACAAGTATGCCTTTTCCAGAGTAAACTACAATTATACATTATAAAACTTAGCTCAAGTATGGATGCTTTCCTTCAAAAACTTTCAACTTTTCCCCAGAAATTTTAACTTGCCCATCTCCCCCTACAAACTTGCTTTCTTCGGACCTGTGAAGATTTGTAAACTTTATTTTGGGGAGAGGAGATTATTATACTTTTGATTGTTTTATTAGAAATGGGTATTGAAACACCCAATGGCGAATACAGGAATCTTTCTTGTTGGTGAAAAAGGTATGTACTGGCGCTATGCACTGGTACATGTACATGTAAGAGAGAGAGGGGGAGAGGGAGAGAGAGAGAGAGAACATGAAAATAAAACTACCAATGTAGGGAAATAATTCTGATCATACAGAAAAGATTTCAGTATAACCCGGCCCTTTATCGTTAGATCCTATTGTTTTAATTGTCAAACTGACACATCTAACTGATGTGAAGATAACGTGGGTGTATTTTAAATCTGTTATTTTTGTACAGGAAACATTAGATTGGTATGTATATATTGATAATTACAATAATAGGCCGAGTTTCATTACGGAATTAACAGTTTTTCTTTGGAATCTGAAAGTTTTTAAAAAAGAAACAAATAGATCACTGAAATATATTTATTAATCGACTCGATACTGCGTAATCAATGGTGGATATTCATAGTAAATGTATTTTATTTTGTAATCAACGTTTGATATAGTATTATTTTATATTTCATCAATTGTTTTCTTGAGAACAGAAAGAACGGAATAGGAATGGCTGATATTGTCCAAGGAAATTTATCCCCTTACTTTCTGGGAATTTTACTTACTTATTATATACCAGGGGTATATAAAGAGCTTTTACATCTGAATATAGTCCAAAGTGATTTAACTTTAGACAGAATATGTTCAAACTTCAAGGTAAAAAAAGAAATTATTTTTTAAAGGGAAATTGAAGAAGTCGTCAAAAAATATTCTAATTTTTGCTGTGTAAGTTAGTAAACCATGGGATTTTTAATAATTATTTTATTTTTTTTTTAAAGTGTTTTCAGTGCTAACTGTGTTCCTGGTTTTAAGTGGTGCTCTTTCAATGAAATGTTCTTCAAAATCCGGAAATCGTTTTTCCGCTTCGGTGCTGTGGGACCAGAGAGAAAATTATGAAATTGACACCACCTGTCCATGTGTTGCCATGACAACGACCCTTCCTCAGTGCCACATTCACCACCTCGTCACTAAAATCAATCACGTGACATCAACATTACAAAAGAGATATAGGTCGTTTGTAAGTACACTGTAATTCTTACCTGTTATAAAGTTAAATAGAATTAAACCCTGATATAAAAATGTCAAATGAAGATTATCATTATTTGGGAAATCTTTTAAAATTTTCTTGTAATACATGTGTATTCAATGCTCATATTTTCCCGAGTGTTCGATGATGTGACTGTTAACTGGTTCTCTCTTTCCTTAGCAACTATCCATCGCATCTCCACAACCACCGCCTTGCACTGACTTGAGACACCACCACCACGCTAATGCACCACATAACTCAGACCTGGTAAGTCAGAAAAACCACTACAAAATTATTCAAACTTAAGTTATCATTGATGTGATTTCTGCATTATACGGTACTTGAATGAATTAATTCAAAATTCTCATTATTTTTTTTCAGTCTGTTCTTTTGATTGAATCCTATAAAACGCTATCTCTAGTCACGTTGAATGTAGCCGTCGTTCAAAGACACAACAACTCCAGAATACAGGATCTCCCTACGTCGGAGCTCGGCGGAGTGTTGTGCTACATGAAGCGGCTTCTGTTTGCTAATGACGTCACTTCCGCCGTGACCGGACACAGCGTCACCGTAGAACCTATGGATATCAGTCAGATCGTCCCATTTACTTGTCAAACCCTGAAAGATAGCATCCATCTTCTAAAACAAGTGAAAACAAACATTCTTGAAACATTTTACAGTCGTCTTAACTAAATCCCAACTGCCTCATATCGTAGTGCTCATTGAATTGTTTGACAGAGTTCGTATTTGTAAAGTCTTCATCACAGATCTAAGCCTTCTTCATGCATGAAAATTGAAATGACTTACAGAAATGTAATTTAACTCTGCATTAATGCCAGTGAAATATTTACATGTACTTACTGAAGTACTTATTTATTTTATTTATTACTAGTATTTATTTATTTGTTTATTTATATTTGTTATCAATTATTTATTTATGTACTGTATTTATTAATTGATACATATTTGTATATTATTTTGCATGCATCACAACGAAACGATTCATATTTAAACTTCCATTCTCCTAGACATAATTAGAACAGTAGAAATATGTTCTGATTGCAAATGCCTGTTGTGTTGATTTAATTATGAAATAAAATATATGTTAAAAAAAGATATTTGTATAGTTGTCGTACCTCATTCAGGTTGATATCAGATACTTAATCCCTTTTTGAAAAAACGGGAGAGAGGGAAAGAAGTACTTCTTGTATTAATGATGCCCTGAAAAACATATGGACAGTAATTTTAAAGCGGTGCATTTATTTTTGACACAAGTCTCTTGAAAAATTTGGCGTTATAAAAAAATTACATTATTTTTTACATCCCAAATTGTTCTAAGTCGGATTAAAGTGATCTAAAAGCATGTGGTTTTTGATAATGAAAAATGTATGATACGCAAGTTTTATTTCTTCTTCGCCAAATGATTTTTGATCTGAAAGACCTCATTTTTTATTTTGAGAAGAGTAAACCCCGTAAGTAATGGTGAATTGTTCACAATACGAGGGCTGTTCAATAAATAATGTCCTCGGTGCTCAGAAAGAAGCAAACGACGCTTTTCAAAGATTTAGTCTTCATGATTTTACTTATTAATCTCTTTTAATTCAAACACATGTCTGTAACATTTTTTATCCAATTTCTGATTGTTTTTAGAACTCATTTTTGGGTATGACCCTTAGTATACTGAAAAATGGCAGATCCAATGATTTTCTGGACTTGTTTTTTCGTTCTGAAAGGTTTTTTTTTCAAGTTTGGAAATAGAAAGTTAGAAACAAGTCAAAAGGTCAAAGATCTGGCGAATATTGTTAATGTAAAAAACATTAACTTTCTGTTTATCTCGAAAACCCCTTTACTCTTAAGGGCGTGCGGGTTTGGACGCTGTCATGAAGAAATTCAATGTAGTGGATTCCTGATTCTGGGTCCTTGCTCAAATAAACCTTTCGATCCTTTTGTAAAAAATTGCTTTCTAGACTCAACCAGATATTAAACTGTCTCCCCGAATACGAAATTGAACAACAATACCACTCATATTTAAGAAAATTGCATATAAATCTGTCTTTGTGCTCTTGCATACTTTTGCTTTTGTCAGACCTTCGCAGTTTTTATCAAGTACATCTTATGGTAAATTTTGTTTTGATGATTTTAAGCAATAGATTCATGTTCCAATATCTGTTCAAATATAAAAGAAACGTGGATAACTACAATTACTGATATTTTAAAATAATTGTAAAGACTTTCGTACACGCTGTCGTTTTCACTAATTTTCAAAATATAGGGTGACCTTTGAGTACCAAGCTTTTTTACTGTCAAACTTTTCTTAAAAACAGTGTAAATTACTCCCGATATGATGTCTATAAATTTGCTATGTGTCTTAAAGTCAATCATACATCATCAAATATTATTTGTTGAAATTTGGCAAACAGTACATAAGTTGTTATAATTTTTGTTGGCAAGGAGGGTACCCATTTTTGATGCCCATTATATAATTTTTTATCATTGAAATCCAACTGCTCATTTGTCTAAAAAACAGGCATCGGTTGCTGTAAATGACACATATTTCAGTGAATATTTCTTTGGAATTTTTAACAAATTTTACAGCAGCTTTAATGTAGCCTTTATTTTCACTCTAGTTTACTGGTTCTTTACTGTTCATTTATAATGAAGTGTCTCGAATAGCCCTTGTTTCCCAGCTTCTCACGATGAAACTATGTGATGAAAAGTGATCACATAAACTGTTATAAATTCAGGAAAGATTCAATAATGAGAGAAATTCAAGTGTAATGTCATATGATATCTGTATTGTATGTCATACAATTCAGGACATTATTTATTGAACAGCCCTCGTACATACATTGGTTGACTTCATTTGGCCAAAAAAAAAAACATTAAATATATACGATACTGTTAAAAAAGCACATATCTGACGTATTTGAAAAAAAGTTTCATGTGCAATAATGATATCATAGTGTCGTATATCAAGTTTCACTGAATCAGACGATGTCAGACTTATTTTTCTTATGGATAATCAACTGATTCGATCCCGTTGCTGTCAAAATTCATGTTCTCTATAGGAACAGGACTATTGCTCTCGGCTTCGCCTCGGGAAATAGTGATGACCTCGGGAACTGAAGTCTTGCTTACTCCCTCAAAGATGTACATGTATCATAAGTGTATCTTGATAAAGAACCGGTTGTTCAATCATTGCCTTATAACGTCTTACGACTCTTTTGCTATAAACCCTATAAAGTTCTTTTTGAGTTTATATAGGCCTAATATACAAGTATTAATTTATATGACTTATAGATCGATGGACTAACTGTATTTTGATTTTTTCTGGTACCTGATCTCGACTTTAGAGGTTTTGAAACTAAATATATAACAATAGACAGACGATTTTTCAACCATTTCTACTTAATCGAAACCGAGCGCACAAAAATTAAGAATTCTTTATCACTCAAAAGCCTTTCCCTCTTCCTTACTTTACTCCTTCTTGGGAGGAGGTTGAATGTTTTTCAGGATTTTTCCTACAAAGTCAAATTAAAAAAAGAAAAGGAAAACATAAATTGTAGGGAGGGGGTTTCAAGGTCATTTATTATGTTCATTTATTACCTCAAAAAATTTCATGGGATCCGAATCGCCAATCCACCCTAGAATCCACGCAGGGTTCCCTGTAATTCAATGTGCGATAACACGGATGGAGTAAAATCCCCTATTAAGAGGTCCTCTTAATAGGGGATGCTTACTCCTCCAATGCATCCAATCCTTTATCAGGAATTTCCAGAGGGGTTCCAGTTTAAGCCCTCTTCACAGATTTCTATTGTTTTTTTTTTAGATTGATATCTATACCTTTTTCATTAAAAACTCAATTTAAATATCTCGATCATATGCTTGTATACAAAGGTTAATTCGAAATATATACATATATGTATGAAGAACTGTCATATAGAGTAAATTAATAAAATCATATAACGATTCAAAAATCTTACAGATAATTCACAGGATCTGCATGAGGATATGGAAAATTTTAAGTAGTTGGAAAACATTTTTTATAATATGGATGAATATCTCATTTTCACCAAAATCTCTTTATCTTTTATATTTCTTGTAGAATGCAATTTATCAAGGTTTAACTTGAAATCTAAATTAATCTTGTCGATTGTTTTACATTGACCTCTTTCCTTACAATCTGTTAATACATTCACAATTAGTGTGATACATTTTTTTCTGGGTTAATAAATTGATATCTGTTATATTTCCTCATTCCGTTCTGAGTTTTTAAATAGCCAGGTGAAGAATTTTCAAGGTTGATATCCGATTTCAAAGTATCCGTACTTTAAACTCATCGCGTTTTTATGGCATAGATCTAATATTATAAAGGGTTAAAATGTGAAACAAAGAGCGCGACTTCTGGTAAACACTCTAAAAATTATCAAAACATTTTATCTTAGCATTTTTTTTCAATGTAGACCTTGAATGGAATTCCTGTCTTAATTGTGTACCAATCAATAAACTTATAAACAATACATTAATTAATGAATACGCATAATTGTGTTCAATGATAATTAAAAAATTACCACAGTAAATGAACCATTCAGGTGCTAGGACAAATTATACATCCGATTATAAATCGAGATTATGTCCAATATTTTTGGTAAATTTTAGTTTCGACGAAAGTACCTGGGTTACGAGAATTTTGAAAATAAAGGGAAACACGTCCTAAGCATCTGTATAAAAATGTCCCGCTTTAGAAGAATTATTTTAAAGGGGGTCCTGTTCCTCAAAACATTAGCAAGCTGAATCTTTATATTAACTTTATTTGCTAAAAATTGAGAAAATGAAACTTTTAGGTAAAGATAGTAATTAAAAACAGTGCGTTCATTTTGAAAAAAAGAAGATATTTTCACTAGATTACTTTCTTTTGCTAAAAAAATATGTTTTGTCATTCTTGAGAAATTTTTCGAATTTTCTTGTTTTACTTTTAACAATTTTCTTTCATTTTATAGCCTCTTTTCTGGTACTTTCCTGCCTTCTCTTGATTACGACACAAGTCTCCCGTGCAGTGATATGCACAACCAATTTGGGATTGGAGTACCGTGTTGAACAAACCTCCAGAAGTCAGCTGACCTACTACATTAACGCGTGCTGCCCGTGCCGGTCTCAGCCAATCAGATATCAGCTTCCACTCTGTGGTCTGTTAGATCTTGTCACCAAGATCAACGTCATCATAACACAGGCGGAAAATAAACTCAATGCATTTGTAAGTCTGAACCATTTAATACTTTCCTTTCTAGGAACAATAAAAATTTTCCTATCCAAAATACTTTATAACTGTATTTATTGGTATGTTTGAACTTATATCTGTAGGCATCTTCCATATTTGGAGGAGACGAATCTTGCTCCCAAGTGAACCATCATGTAGCGGTCACGTTTGAGAATGTGGTAAGTATAATTATATTTAAATGTATATAGCATTGTACGTAGACTTTGTTTAGATATACCTAGAATACTTTAGTATAGTTAGCAAGTATACACGTGCAGAACCACGTACGCATCTTTACCAATAATTAAGCGTCTACCAGAAATAAGAATTATGTTATGGTCATACTGTTCAATTTAAATTCGTTAACTAGCTCGTAGAGACGCTTAGAGTAATAATAGACTCTTTTTCATTATAGTCGCTTAAGGCTCATCAATACTCTAATAAGAGAGATAACTCTTAATTACAAAAATTTCTATTATTCCCTTATAAATTTGTCAAGTTGAAGTGTCTTTTTTGTCCAAAAAAAGTTGCCCCGCAAGCTAGGCTAAAATTGTTTGTATTTTCTTTAACAAATACATTTCTTTTGGAAAATCATAAAAGTTACAGAAATATTTTATATGAGTGAGCAGCGCGTTTATGAACCTTAATACGAGTTATATTTTATAAATTCTACAGTCAGATGCTCTTCTCAACTCCTATCAACAACTGACAGGACTTGCCCTCAAATTCCACATCATTCAACACCACAACAATTCACGGATTGGCGTCATTTCCGGTATAGCAGACGACATAGGTGACGCGCTGTGTCATCTTCAGTCCCTGCTGGGAGACACGGAGATGTCGGAGTCAGTCTACAGACGGAGGCAGGAGATCACAGATATGGACATCAGTCAGATGGTCCCCTACACGTGTCGGACCCTCAGTCAGAATGTCGCCAGCCTCAGCAACATGAAAGAAGATTTGCGGACTACACTTTTGGCAAAGTTGAACGATTTCGCATAGTTTGTGTTAAAATTGTGTTGGTGCTCACATATAAAGAATATTCGTGTTAAGAGAGGAACGATTTCGGATGGGTAAAAATGTCGTATTTGAAAATGTAACATGATGTGTAACCATATTCCAAGTAAATTATTCATAGGAAATCACAATTTGGGGAAAAACAATACATTTCACTTTCCTATTTCACAAAAACCCCGATCTTTCAAAAGAATTATAACATCTCTTCTGAAAGATCAATGAAAATTTCACTTTTAAGGTCAGACGAAACGTTCCTCAAAAATATAATTTTTCCTAAGAATTTGTCATTGAAGTTTGGGTACTTGAACAAGTTTCCTCACAAAAAATTAGGGTACCTTACCAGGCATTTGGCCAAGATACCATGGGGTCATATTTCTTATATAACCCTTACGGGTAATCTTCTAAATGGCCTTTAACACAATTTTTGGTGTACTTATATTTAAAAACATTTTAAAAACAGTGTAGAGATCAGAAGAGAATGACAAATATGAGAAAATTTTGATATAACTTTTCTATACATGTTTCATCCTATAATTATATACTTACAACATTTAAAATTCTGATGTTTTAATTTAATTGCCCACTTGAAAAGAAACAAATCATACATTTGCATTCAGCAAAACCAGAGTCTATTCAATACGAAATCCCGAAAATGAGGATCGCCCGTGATTGTTGCTTCTTATCATACCCTTTCCTGTAAGAGTACGCACGAAGATGACGTCACCTTTGGACATGCACGTTGACAACAGCATTCCCCGTGACAACATTATAATCACAGTACGCATATGTACTGCCTTCAACTTTTTTGTTGATGTACAGCTCACTTGTGTACGCATAACTGCACTGCACACGAGTCACCCATGTGAATGAATACAGGCCACTTATTAGTCAGCCCCCGGGCTGACTAGTTACGTTAGGATGAAACTGCAAGTGCGCTTGCGTTAATCGGAATTCTGGGAAAAAGATTTGCACAAATCTCCAACCAGAAGGCGTGCTTTTCACGCACACTGACCTCGATCTATTTATAGACTGCATTGTTCTTTGTCGTTCTCGATGAAAATTAATGACATAGACTGTTCAGCTTCTAGATGGGATATTTGTCATTTTTTAAATGATACTATGAAAATATTTCATTGCTTCTAATAGACGATAAGTACATTTATTCCCACAATAGCCATTGCAAACCGAAGATTTAAATTGTGTATTCCTCTGGATGCCTGATGCAAGACTCCCTCGATCTTGCATAAGACATGTACGGGCGGAATTCACACAACAAACCACTTGCCACAAACAGTACAAAGGTCCCAAAATAGTGAAAAAAAGAACGATCAATTTCTTTTCACTCTAATGATGGAAGTTATGAAAACATCACAAGACCACTGTAAGACAGTAAATTCTTATAATTTATATGATGATAGACATGTAAGTGCCGCTTGAGCACGTGAACCGCGGCCACGTGTGAGAAATTGACCACAGTGGAGATTTATAGACAGGGTCAACATCCCCCCTTCCAATGAAAGGGGAGAGAGGGGGGGGGGGGCAGATGGATTCCAGTATTTTAATCGATAGTTTTGCTATGATGGTAAACATCATCAAAGACATTTTATGTACATACGTACTGCATGTATTTATATTTTGAATTTCCATTTTTAATTGTTTTCCGTGGCGTTCATTACTTTTTTGGAAGCAATTCTTTTCTTTCCTAATAACACTAAAGCGGATGCTCAAACTTAGAAATTGAATTAAATATACATGCAGTATGCCCCCCCCCCCCTCCCCTCCACATCATGCATTGCCTCGAAATGCACAACTGAAAACTGTTATTTAATAATACATGTATTTTAAAACAATATAACACAAAGTCAAACTTCTTTTATTCATCATAATCTAGCTATATTATTTTTTATAGAATTTAACGTGATCTTAGTTGCCATAGTGGCTAGCTTTTGTTCATTTACCGGTATGAGATGAACTTTCTCTGATATCTGCGCCGAAGAGAATTTATTTGAAATCATTGTAATGATCACGATGCAGACTAGCTAAATTTTATTCTATGCTTTATTATTTATTATGTACAGCATTATGTTACAAATAAGAAAACGATTACAAGAATTTAACTTTTCTTACAATGGCATTTATTACATTGAAGGAACACAACATGATGGATAGATCAAATCATAAACCTTTACAAAACAAGGAAGAAACTTTCTGTATTCCAGTGGCTGACGCTCAGCTTTTTTAAAAAAGCTAACCTTGTTGTGTCTTTTAGGTGGGTGGGGCTATGGCATTCATATTTCACAGGTGTATTCCATGAGAAGAGACCTTTTAGTGAATACCACCAAATTTGACATTGGAGTTTGAACAATCTTTACAGCCACGTAGCATCGTTTTTGAAAAGGGGGAGGGGCAGCCAGAAAAAAAGAGGAAAAATTGCCCAAAGTCGAAAATCCTATTTCGGGGGGGGCGCAAGTTTTTTCAATGCCTACTTCCTTCATTTAGTACTAATTATTTTGACCTATACAAGAGTACATTTTTCCCCTTGATTTACACATAGGACTTTACAGTTTAACTCCCACTTCTAAAAACATTTATGTTGACCATAACTTTCAAACAGATAAAATTAGGGTTTTCAGATTTCACAGGTGTATTCATTGGTACATGTCACCTTCCTTTGGATATCAAAAATTCTTATCTTTTGACCTTGATCTTTGGAATTTGATTTGCATCTGAAAAAAATAGCTAACATACGGGGGCATCTGTGTTTCACAAACACATCTTGGTTTTTATTTAATTCTCTGCCTATAAGTTCAGCTGTGAACAAGTTCTTGAAAAGCTTTTCTCATGTTGATTGTTGGTTTGAATTACGGAATTTCAAATAGAAGGAGCGTAGATTAAATCGACTTTGATGCATAAATTTATAACTTGTAGTCTTGCTGAAAGATTCTAAATTGCTTCTCCTCCTTCAGTTTAATATTGGTTAATAATATTAATTCATGTCCAGAGTAAAATTTATTAATAAAAACGTTTTTTTTTCAGCTACATTATAGAAAATTTTAAATTGAATTAAACTTTCAAAAGCACTTTACGACAAAATGTTACTCCCAGGGAAGCCATGAAGTATTTAATCATATTGTGCTTTACAAGCGTCATTTTACAGCACTTCCTATTGTATACTTTTGACTCTAACAACAAGACTGTTTACTTGTTATTGTGTATACAAATAGGGATTTTAATTTTACAATTTCCCCAATTTAAAAGGCGTAATAAATATTGTCTGTTGCTTTTCTTGTATGAAGAAAAAAAATCAATTATGATGGATGGGGGAACATACATGTGTATTGGATTGTGAAAACGGTCTACACAAAGCTCCGTTAATTGGTATTGGAAACTGGCGAGAAAAATCGAATGCTTTTGAGCAACTGCCATTTACACTATCGAAATTTTTAAGTATACTGGATATATACAGTTGTACAGTGCTAAAAATCTTTTTAAAGGCAGTTCAATGTTCAATGTTTTGAGTTGTTTACATGTGATACCAAAAGCATCCTTGAATACCAGTATTTATGGAACATTAACACTGTAATTGGTAGATGTCGTGAGTTTACCCTAAATTATATGACTTAGTATAACGATGGAGAAGAAACCTTATAAACAATGCCTTCAAAGAGTCGGTGGATTTCGTCAGCAGAAACGAAAGGCTGTATTCGCCGTATCCCCTGCTGGTGACAACAAGGCTTGGATCTGTACCCGAGCGCCATCTTTAGAACTGATAGACCACCAAGGCAACACCCACAGGGTGATCAAGCTACCATTCGTCACCGCCGTGTTTGGCGGGGTTTTGAATTCTAAACCCATTTTCGCAGGACTTTCAGAGCTTGTTCAAGTCGAAGAGAACAATGAAATGACGATACTGGCCAAATTTACCGATTGTGACATTGAGCGAGCCCATGTGAGTTGTGGTAACATTTTTGTTGTCCTAAAAGTCTGCGGTGGCCCCATCCCGGGATGGCGAGAACTTCTGAAGTTGTCCTCGGAGGGAATAGTTTTGCACTGTTTGAATGTTAACACTGAAGGCGATATGCTTCTTCAAAAACCACATCTGATTTCCTCCTTCAGTGACGGGTCACTCTGTGTTGTAGACAGAGGAATATTGAAAATAATGGACCATGAAGGTAGCAGGATTCTAAAAGAATCGCCATTTCCTAGAGCAGACGACATCTGGAACATTTCATGTGACAGTTATAACAATATAATTCTGAGTTGTGGATTACAGGGTCTCGTGAAAATAATTAACATAGACGGAGAAACTTTACAGGTGTATAATATCAAGGAGATGGTGAATGACGGAATCATTTCGGTCTGGGGTGCCGTAGCAGACGACCAAAACAGAATGTGGATTGTGACGTTTTCTGGTGACGTCTTTGTGGCAAACTACATTGACGAATGAAAGGGAATTTTCAATTTAGATGATATATTAAATTATGCAGTCTATATGTTTTTTTCTGAATAATTAAAGCATTTGTGAACTTTTTTGCTACTGTGAACTATTTCATTTTGCAGCTGATTTAGTTGGTGCAGGAAACCGGCGATAAATAAAATGATTTTTCTGGGATTTCTTGTCTTGATAATACTCTACAGCTCTATAAACTACATGATTATACTGACACAATGCATGCATTATCCTGATTCCATATATACGATACACGTATATCGTACATGATGTATTTGATGAAATAAAATAAATTATATATATATATATATATATATATATATATATATATATATATATATATATATATATATATATATATATATATATATATATATATATATATGTGTTTATTCGAGATCGCCTCTCGCTAAAGTGCCTCTGTTACGTTTCCCAAGCATCTGGAGGTTGCTTAACTTGTCTGTGGCTCATAATCCCAGGATCTGCTAAATAATATACAAAATGGCTAAATGACTAAGAAATCTTTTTGCAAACTATTTTGTTTCTCATATCCAGTTGATTTTTCTATTGTGATAATTCTTTGAAACATAACAAGAACTAAGGCTAACGTGCAAATTTAAAGCCATATATGGCGTAACTGATCAAAAAAATGTATTTTTGAAAAATACAAAATTAAGTAAAGAAATCATAATTGATACATTTAAATTAAAGTTTTTCATACAATTCTGAACACGGAGAACACCTGCATATAATAATACAATTTTATCTTCTCTGTAATGTGTTATTTAAATCTTTTGTATTTTCTTCCGAGTCGGCAAAAATATTTAAATTGTATCTTTATAACGCAATTGATTTTTCTGTAATTTACGGAAAACTTCTATCTTTATATAAAGTAATAATACAGCTAATAAGTTCTTATAATTTTAGTCTAATAATTTTCATTGTACATACGCCATATATGGCTTTAAAAACACGCGCAAAATCAAACTCGAGACATTCAGATTCAAAATTTTGACCCGCAATGTGAGTCTTTTTAATTAAGCACAGATAACACATATTATTTTACCACAGACCTTTCGATCGCTTAAATCCGACTGTAAGCAATTTGGATGTATAAAAAAAACTTTATTTTTTTCTAACTTCTCAATTTTTTAAAGCGATCTAAAGGCCTTTGCTTTTTACCCAAAAATTCACACCTTTCAATGGTACAAATTTAAATACAACGCATGAAGAAAATTTTGATTGATTATCGCAATATCATATTGTTCCAGAAGTTAAAAATTCATATATTTAAAGTTTTGAGAAACTCTGCTCTCGGATTATGGCCTTGAGACCTCGATTATTGAAATTCGATTTCTTTGAATTAAAAAAAAGTTAAAAACGCTGCCATCTTTCTTGTATAGACTGTCTATTAGACGAAATATTAAGCATTCAAGCATAATTTAGCAATTCAACATTTTTTCCCTCTTAACTTCAAAGTGCCCCCCCCCCCCGAAAAAATACAACCATGTGAACGTCGGTAATTTTTTTTTTAAATCTATCGGCTAATGTTTATGCTCCCAGGACTTGATAATTTATTCTTCTTTCTTTGAAAACTGATATTTTGCAAATAAATTTTTCATGAACATTCACATTGATTTTATTTTATTTCAATATTATATAGAGAGTTTTATTTACTTAGTCAACGTAGCTAGGTTGGGATGTGCATGATTATACAAAAAGTAAACTTTAGAATATTTGGATGCCATAATTCTTTATTCTGGAATCACCAGGTACATAAAAACAAATATTATTTTACATTGAAATCTCATAGTATTCATTGTTCATTTTCTTCTTTTACTACAGAACTCGACTTGTTAGATTTCTCAATCTTAGGATCCTTGATAAGCCCCCCTCTCCCCCCTTACTGATCTTCATAAATTATTTTATTTTGACCTTTTGACAAAATGTTACATCATAATGGTTAAAATAACTTATAAATGAAATGTTATAATCCTGGAATGGAGGATATTTCTTGAAAAAATGGCCAGGTACATGTATGTTGAAATGTCAATTACATTTAAATAGCTTAATTTTACTCATCTTTTCAGATTTCCAAACAACACATTCTCAGTATTTAATTAAGGCAGATCCGTACTTTTACAATTTTATGTCAAACTGACAATTTGTTTTTAATTTTTAATACCTTGAATTTGTCATAAGAATATCATAAACTAACTAAAACACCCATGAAATTAAAAGGACTTTTTTTTTATTTACACTCAATATTTACATTAACTTCCTGGATAGGCTATCTTTTGACGTTGGGAAGAGATAAATCATATGGTTAAAACAGAGCTCTGTAAAAAGCAGACTACTTTTCCGGGAAAAATAATGCTGATCGTAAACAGGTTCTTTAATCCCACAATTCCCAGTGGCAATTACCCGGAAGTAGCAATTATAGATCTTCTTTTGTACCAAAATTGTCAATAATTGATATATTTCTGTTAATTTCTTGTTCAGGAGGCCTCTTTTTCGTCAAATTGTGTAGAACTGGTAAGTAAATATATGTGCAATAAGCGCACATGTAGAGCGAAACGGTACACGCTGCATATTGGGTTATTGTTTATCGCACATCACCGTTGATGTTCGTGTGTAGCCTCGAGTCATACACACTGAAAGCAAAATTTTGTTTGCAGAGATAGATTTAACATTACAAAAATTTGTTAATGTCGTAATTAATGTTGCATGAAAGATTTAAACTGCAAAACCATTGTAATGACGTTGATCAAAGTTTCATTTGACAGTCTTTCCAAAGGAGAGGTTTTTAGAAAACTTTTTTATTCCATGTGGAGTTAGGCAGGTCCAGTCCAAAGACTATTTCTACCTACGTAGCTATAAATAGCTACCTAGGTATTTAAAGCTACCAAAAGTAGCTATTTTTACCTACTTATTATAATTTCTGCATTTTGCGACCAAAAGACCAAACGGCGCAACATGGTGAATACCGTATTTTTTTATACGGTCACACTAATGATGAAAACGACAACATTTTGGCCAAAAAATGATTACTTCCTGAATCGGCAATTTTACATTAGTTTCTATGCAAAATTGATTATATGCGAAGTTTCCATTTTTTGGCCAAATTTTTGTCATATTCATCATCAGTGTGACCGTGTATCGAGAAATTTTGTGCTCATCATGTTGCGCCGTTCCTGCATTTGACCACAAAATGCAAGTGAAGCAGAAAGTAGGTAAAAATAGCTACTTTGGGTAGCTTTAAATACCTAGGTAGCTATTAATACCTACGTAGGTAGAAATAGTCTTTGGACTGGACCTGTTAGGGCCTAAATCACTTTGCAAAAACTCATTAACTGATTTAGAAAAAATTGTAGCCCTTTCGTCTACAAGATTCAGTGTCAGAATGAGATTTAAATTATTTCGTAAGTTAGGCTATGTAAGTTTTTAGTTGGAAAGAAATCCTTTCTGTCTTTCTAATTCTATGAAAAACGCAAGATCTTTTTGGGAGCCAGTCAAAGAGACCTCTAATAAAAATGTCCCCATCAAAGCATCACCTGATTTTGGTTAACACATTTACTTTCATTTTCCTTTCACAGGCCATGCTATCCTTCACACATTAACTGACATTAATGTGGAAGTCCTCCGTTTGACTAGGCCTTTGATTGTGACATTTGGAGTAGGGGGGCTGAGACTTACGCTGTGCTACTGTGTTCGTTGAGGTTTCGTCACTCTGGACAGGGGCGGGGCATACCTGGGGCCGAGGATGCCCACTGGACAGCCAATGACTAGTCCCATGGTGGACAGGGAGCATGGAGGAATGTGAGTATTAGAACTTCTCATTGCATTTCACATCCCTGCAATGCCAGGGTTCCAGAGTCAACACCTTGACATTACTCAGTATTTTCCCTTTATTTCAGAGTAAAGGGTTTGAGATCAGTTGTAACAGGGTAGGGACAGATGTTTATGAATAAAATCTCTATGGACTTAGCCCCGTGGGGATCCGGGTTAGAATAGGTCCTCAGTACCCCCTTGCTTGTCGTAAAAGGCGACTAAATGGGGCGGTCCTTCGGACGAGACCGTATAAACCGAGGCCCCGTGTCACAGCAGGTGTGGCACGATAAAGATCCCTCCCTGCACAAAGGTCGTAAGTGCCTAGCATAGGCCCAAATTTGCAGCCCTTCACTGGCAATGGTGATGTATCCATATCAGTGAAATATTCTGGAGAGGGACGTTAAACAGTATACAATCAAGGAATCTATCTATGAACTTAACATCATATTTTTATTTCAAAGCAGCATTTTTATACGCCCGTCTTAAGACGGGACGTATTATGTTATAGGCTTCATGTCCGTCCGTCCGTCCGTCTGTCCGTCCGTCCGTCTGTCCATTCGTGTCCGGCTCATAACTTCAATACTATTAGGCCTAGGATTATCAAACTTTGTCAACTGATACTTCTTGGGTAGACGGTGTGTCGCGCACCAAAAGTAGGTCGCTCTGACCTTTAATAAAGATGCTACGGCCAAATATGGAAAAATCCTGTCCGGCTCATAACTAGGAAACTATTAGACCTAGAGCTATCAAACTTGGCAAAAGTATACATCTTAGGTAGAAGGTGTGTCGCGACCTATTTCAAGGTCACTGTGACCTTTAATTTTAGTGAAATTTTTTTAAAATTTAAGTTTTTTAAATTTTAAATTTTGTAATCCTAAAAATGTAAAAAATAGAGTTGTATCCTTATTAAAAAGTATTAAATCAAGTAAAAACTTATTTTTTCATCATATACTTTACAGCAATCTTAAACAAATTTCAGTGTTAATGAGAGGAATTCAGTTTGTCCCATGGGCATAATTATCAAGCACTGGTCAGGAAGAATTTTGATAGCAGAAAGTTGCATGTCAAATTAGAGAGAAATTAATGACTTTAGTGTGAGGAGGTTTGGTGTTATCCCTTGGGTATTAGGCAAATGGACAGCCAGCCTAGCTGTTAGATTAAAAATAGCTCTTGGTGGCTAGCTAAGTTTTAAAATAAATTTGATAAAAAGTAATTAAAACTTATTATACCCCCCGCAAACGAAGTTTAGGGGGGGTATATTGGAATCACCATGTCCGTCTGTCCGTCTGTCTGTCTGTCTGTAGACGAGATTTTGTCCGGAACATTACTCAGAAACTATTGGAAGGATTTGTCTGAAAATTTGTACAAATATTATTCACCATATGAAGTTGTGCACCTGCTATTTTCATCTTGATTCGATTATTATTTTGAATTTTACAGGTGTTTTTCCATTTTTATTTTGTGGTTTTGTCTGAACCGTTTCTCAGAAACTATTGCAAGGATTAATCTGAAAATTTGTACACTTATTATTCACCATATGAAGGTTTGCAACTGGAATTTTCAACTCTTTTTGTTCATTTTTTTGCATTTTACAGGTTTTATTTTTTATATTAATTGACTTGTTCATTTTGGGCTCATGTATAAGGTTTGAGACATAGAATCTAGAATATCTGTACAAAAATACTACAGCTTAAAACTACTCATATAAACTAAAAGAAATAAACATCATTAAGTGTTAAAAACAGTTTTTACATTGCACAGAAGATAATGAAATTTTATTTATCTCTTGGGAATAATGACTGGACATGCATCCAGTTAAAGATAAATTAATGAGTTTGGTGTGGGAAGTTGAACATTAAGGCATCTCATTATCAACCATGTGTAATCTCCTGGGAATCAGGCACAAGAATGAAAGATCTCTCTTCTCTTATTCTCTTAATTGTAATTTATTGTCTGTCAAAGCACTTCATTACTGGATGACCAGCTCTTTATTTTCAAATGAATTTGATATTAAGTTATCAAGATTAATTTGATTTTGTATAATATGATTTTTTTTTTCAACAATCAGTTTGCAGAGTGACATAACATAATTGCAATATATTTTTTAATGCAGAAATAAAAAAATAAATAAAAAAAAAAATAATGTTACAATGGAATTACAATGAATTAGTATTGATGTTTCATTTGGTTGCACCTTTGTTTCATTCATTAAGAAACATGATGAGCAATTATATTTCACTGCAAATTTTTGTAGGTAAATTAAATGTAAGTAAGTAAGAACCTCTAGATCCATAAAGTATGTTTTGAATTGGCACCTTCTCTGAAAAACCCAGCGGGGGGTATTTGTCCCTATTGGACAGTTCTAGTTTGATATTGCATAATAAACTAATAATCTGATATTATATAATATTAATTAATTAAAAACTAATTTTATGTGGTGGGGTTGAATCAGCATGCCTACTTGACCATTTGAATTAAATATAAAACCTGTCTGGCATTAAATCTAAAAAGAAATCATGGAGTATTTTATATGTTTTAAAAGTGTTTTAGGATAAAAAGTACAGATCCATTAATATTTAGGGAGTAATGAGTAGACAAGCATCCAGTCAAAGATTAATTAATGAGTTCAATGTAGGAAGGCTATCTGATCAAGCGCTGCCTTATCTGTCTTTGGGGATTAGACAGAAGAACTGCTGGTCATAGCAAATGTCGTTTGATGGCCAGCCTTTCTTTTCAAAATTAATTTGGCATAGATTAAGTTGTTAAGACTAATTTGATATTGTTTATTATGATGGCCGGCATTTGACAAAGTTTAACACAAACAGTATAGAAATCTGTCAGTTATGTAATATTTGTTATAATTATGCCTATACAGCACAGGGGATGGATAAAGAATTTTTTTTTTTAAATGGAAAAATCATGGAAATCTTAGAATCAATTAAGGTTGAAGTGATTTTCTTGCAGTCTAAACTTTTAAAGATAATTGTGTAATATTTTGACGGGCGTATCATGCTGTGGCGTGGCACTTTATTGTATATTGAAGCAGTCAATTTGGCCAATAGCCACATTCATAGGGAAAACCCTGTTTACTAGCATTATACCCCTCGCAAATTTCATTCAATAATCATGGATTGACGATAGCAACATCTTTTGGAAAAATTACAAATTTGATTATTTTTGTTGTCTCTCAACCAATCATATTAAACCATTCTATGATAAACAACTTGTAACAAGTGCATTTAAACAATCAACAGAATCCTTCCTGTTTACTTATGAAAGCTTTAATTTGATTGGTGCTTCTAGGGCTCAACATTAACACTTGTTCGTAACCAGTGAAAAAAAAATTATGGACAAGTGACTATTGCTGGACACTTGTCCGATGATTGGGCATGTGCATTTTAATGTGAAGTAGTCTCTATGTAATAAAAAGAACTGCTGTTGAAAGGTAATTGGAAGTTTTAAGACAGAAGCTGTTAGTGTTGTCAAATCGGTTGAAAATCAGAATCGATTAATCGGTAGCATCGGTTGACCCTAACCAACTGATCATCGGCCAATAATCGAATCGGTAACCCTTTGCATAAAATAGGCACTATATTTCATATAAAATTTAGAATTTTATTTTTAAATAATGTAAGTAAAGATGCATTGTACAGATCAAAATTCTAAAAACAGTATATATGGCTATGCAGTTTGAATAACAGTTTCAGTAGGCCTAATACAGATTTACTTGGCCTGGGAAACATAAGCATTGACAGATCAGGTTTTAATTTACAAGATCATCTAAAATACCGGTTTATATGTGGAATTAATTTTTTAAACTGTTATGACGTAATATCACAAATCCTTGTGAATTCGTATGATATGAAAAGTGAATTCCCCCAAATACTGAAAACTTATATATTAATATATCTCCTAAATATCAAGGTGCGCTATTTAAAATTTCGGCGGCCATTTTGAAGTGGCGAATGATTATGTCCCTTGACTGTAGTTTAGTTTCTTCAGTTTAGAAATGCAATTATCATTTATCTTGTGATTTATTTTAAACAGATTTTAAGTACATGTATTTTAAAATAGGTATTAAAGGACAACACTTGGAAGATATATATTTTGATAACAAGAGCCTGTATTTGAAATAAAAATGAGAAAACTATAAAAAAGATACCGTAAATATGGAAATTTTTGCTGTAGATTAATTTTTAGCAAATTTGCGAGTTCATTGCATTCGCAAAAATATTTTTCTTAAAAATAAATCACCAATAAGAAAATGTAAACAAAGCAGGGGTCATTCACAGAATTTTGAAACGTAAAAATTAATCAACAGCATTTTAACCCAGATTCGCAAAATAAAATCGACGTAAAAATTTCCAGATTTACGGTATGTGCTGAAATACACCGATTTGTTTAAATCTCCAATTGATTGTCTAAAATCGACAGCCTTTCCGACCGATCATCGATTGTAAATCGATCATCGTAACAACACTAGAAGCTGTACATAAAACTGGACTTCAATGCCGTTAGGGATCGCTATGAATTGAGTTCACATTGGATCGGGATCAAAGTTCACTTCTTGCATGCTACTAGAAAGAACTTACATAGTTTGGATTCTGTTTGATGTTGACAAGTTCACTTTGGAACACTTATCTAGATGAAAGTTTGTTTTATGTGTTTGTTGTACCGGTATTTATCAATAATATCAGAATCAATCAAAATTTATTGAAAAATTTTCGGACAAGTGAAGTTGAAGTTCATTCAAGTAAATGTCTCAGTCACTTGTCAGAATGAACAAGTAGGAAAAAAAGTTCATGTCGAGCCCTGGCTTCTTAGTGAGAGTAGCAAGCCCTAAAATATCATATGAAATTTGCCAAGGGTCTAACGACAACATGTTGATTCAGGTCCCCTGGCATTTGGAGGATGCATATTTCATTTAAAGGCCATTGAGAAGGGGGCAGGTTAGTTTATTCCTGTTCATGCCTTCACTTAGCCAGTGA